CGGAACAAGGTCAGGGTATAGACAATAGGTTTCCGTGAATAGGAAGAATGAATCTCAAAGACCAGATCTGGCAACAATGGTTAGGAGTGACACTCGATTGCTCGTCCTGAGATTCACAGCGACTTCAGATCGGACATGTCATGTTGTAGTTTATCTGCAATGCACCAGAGACATCACCACCACCCCTATCTATATAGATAGGAAAAACAAGGCCAATCCAAAGTATCCCGACACTTGCTTGCGACACCTTTAGTTAGCAATCCGCGGCACCAACAATGTGCCTGTAAAGCCATTCACCTACATCGAGATTCACCAACTGGCGAGCGGGTTTATCAGCGCATCAGATACAGCAGAAATTACAAAACAAGCGGAAAATTTTGATCTCAGGAATAAAAGGAGGATGGTCAATGTACAAGATTCCTGCTCTCCTCTCCTTCTAACTTCTTCACTTCCCACTCCCTGTTTCCCCCACAGTGCTTGATGCAATGCTTTTCGAGACTCGAGCTTGATTCGCTCTTGCATGGCAGGCTCATCTTCTGCTCCTCTCCACCTCTAGCCGACCATTTACGACTTCTCCAACTCAGCCAAAATCTTCTCACCCTTGGCCCGGGCACTCTCAAAGTCGCCCACCATGTAGAAGGCACCTTCTGGTAGGTCGTCGCCTTCACCATTGATGATCTTCTGGAAACTGCTGATCGTGTCCTTGAGGTCCACAAGCTTGCCTTCGATACCAGTAAAGACCTGGGCGACGGTGAAGGGTTGAGAGAGGAAACGTTGCAGTTTACGGGCACGTTCGACGGTCAACTTATCGGCTTCTGACAATTCATCCATACCCAGAATGGCAATGATATCCTGGAGAGATTTGTATTCTTGCAACATCTGCTGGACGCGGGATGCGGTGTCGTAGTGTTCTTGGCCGACAACACGAGGGTCCAACATACGGGATTTGGAGTCGAGAGGGTCGACAGCTGGGTAGATACCCAATTCAGAGATACCGCGAGACAACACGGTGGTGGCGTCCAAGTGAGCGAAGGTCGTGGCAGGGGCGGGATCAGTCAAATCATCAGCGGGCACGTAGACGGCCTGCACCGAAGTGATGGATCCTTTCTGGGTCGTGGTAATACGTTCCTGCATGGCACCCATGTCGACGGCAAGGGTAGGTTGGTAACCGACGGCAGATGGAATACGGCCTAGCAGAGCAGACACCTCGGAACCGGCTTGAGTGAATCGGAAGATGTTGTCAATGAAAAGCAGCACTGTTACGAGCGTTAGCAAACATGTCCGGATGCTTAAAGTTAGATAGATCCATACCATCCTGGCCTTGATTTCTGAATTCCTCCGCTACAGTCAATCTGTCGATAGCAAGTACAAATATTAGCATAGGAACCAGAATCCAGTTCGACATCAAAACGCATTGCCATATTGGCGGATGGTCTTGGCGGAATGACAAGTAGACTTGGCGAGGATCTTGGCACAAAGAGGAGCGCCAGCGCAAAGATGCAAAGGGTTAAAGAAGGGCATGGAACTACTCACCCGGTCAAGGCAACACGAGCACGAGCCCCAGGAGGTTCGTTCATCTGACCAAACACCAAGGCCACCTTGGATTCGCCGTCAAGCTGAATGACAGAGGTTTCCTGCATTTCGTGATACAGATCGTTACCTTCACGGGTTCGCTCGCCGACACCAGTGAAGACGGAGTAACCACCGTGGGCCTTTGCGATGTTGTTCTGCAGACAGTTAGTCATCGAAACCCACATGGCCAGATGTACCCACAATCAGCTCCTGGATAAACACGGTTTTGCCGACACCTGCGCCACCAAAGAGACCAATCTTTCCACCACGGGCATAAGGAGCCAGCAAGTCCACGACCTTGATGCCGGTAACCAATACTTCGGCAGTTGTGGCTTGCTCAATAAACTCAGGGGGGTCGGCGTGGATGGGGGCAAATTTGTCAGCTTTGATGGGACCTCTTTCATCGATCGGATCGCCAGTGACGTTCATGATACGACCCAAAGTGCCTGGGCCAACAGGGACCTTAATGGGGGAGCCGGTATCGGTGGCTATGTGACCTCGGACAAGACCCTCGGTACCTTGAATGGAAGAGTTAGCCATGGTCAATTGGGTGTGCGAAGAGGTCTCTCTTACCATCCATAGCAATACATCTCACGACGTTCTCACCCAAATGTTGCTATTTACCATCAGTCTCCAGCTTGCTAGCCACAATTTCACTGTGTGTTCGTACCGCGACTTCCAGCACAAGCTTCTGGCCGTTGTTGTCGGTTTCTAGGGCATTGAGAATGGCAGGCAATTGTTCGGTATCGAACTTGACTGTTGATTAACCATTAGCTTGATTGATCGATCCAATCTCGAATGTATATGATGATAGTAGAGCTCTGGGGGAGCTCCATGCGCGCAGGAAAGGATTTTTTCTTCCCATACCGTCAACGACAGCACCAATGACCTGGTGAATCTTGCCATCTCTTGCAGAATCTGTCGACGCCCATCGCTGTGCTAGAGCTGGAACGGCTTGTCTCCGGAGAGGCTCGAAGGCGCGTCGGGAGATCGAAGGTCGAGCAAGGGCAGACCTGCCCAAGCTACGGGCGATGCCGCTGTTCAATCAGTGTCAGCAACAGACCAGAAAAGCACTCGGGAAGCTCTGCATGTGTATGCCGGGGAGCACACGAACCTCTTGAGCATGCTTGCAGATGAACGAGAAGGTGAGGATTGAAAGGTAGAGGGGAGAGTTGGTATGGGATCAGGAGCAAAGTGAAGAAACTTGAAGTCAAAGAATCAAAGTTGCTGTTCATTGAGCTCGGTTCGGCGCTATACCTAATTGGGGACCTCCATTTGTCTCCGGCAAGGCCCGATCTCCAGTATGTGCCTCGTCAATTTTCGAGAGCCACCACCGCCGTCACCTCGCAAATTAGAATAATATTAGGGCTGAACGGGAATTTGTATGACTCGTACGTAGAATTAGAGGAACTGCTTTCTGCCACCGATTTCAATCAACGCCTGTTTTAATCTATGTACAGTCTCGCACGAATCAGAGAGCGGCCGCAAGGCACAGCTTCAGGGAAAAGTTGTGGATTTTTTTTTCTGTATTCACAAAACACAATGAGATCCCTGCTTTCTGGAGATACTAGTCACAGTACAAAAGTCCACCAGATGCGCTGGTGCAAGCCCGCATATCTTTACCCTTCACACCACCGTCGCTTACTCGTCCGGTTCAAGCTTGATGCCCTGAGCCTTAGCAGACTTGCTTTGAACGTGGCCTGGACCAGAATATCCTTCACTGCTGATACCATACATAGGGTTGCTCTTCTCGGACTGTAGGTAGATGTGTCAGCTTGGTTCTTAAGTGAGAGAAACCTTGCGAGGCCTTCCAGAACTCCGCGGCAGCCTCATACAAAGATCGACTCACCTTGAGATATTCATTGGTAGCTTCTTGCCATTCTTTGGTCATGGTTCGTGGAGGGGGTCTTGCCATGCCGTGGATGAGCATGAATGTAGCCAGCGAAATTCCAATGCCAACTGCCGTATAAAGCCAGACTTTGGTCCATTCGCCCGGGGGCACCTCTGCACGAGGTCCGTGAGGTCCAAATGCAATCCACCATGCTGTTAAAGCATCAGTAAATATTCCCGAGCGGTCTCTCATGGCTTCTTGTAGGAAGCAGCGGGCATCGAAGCTTCGTCAAGCACATCTAACCCCTGCCGCGTCCCTCCGTGGAGGCGAGGCCAGTACATACCAGCTTTCTTTTCCTGCAAAGTCATCTCGTTCCAATCAACCTTCATACGATCTCTCAGTTGCATCCATAGCTCGGCCTGCTCTTGTGGAGGCATTGCTTCCCATCTCTTTTCAATTCCAGCGAGCGTAGGGTTGGAGATGGCATGGGCCGATCGCATCTGGGACTGGCTAGTCATGGGAGGGAGCTGTTGAGTAGCTGCAAAAGTGGGAGCCAGGGACCGCGCAGAGGATTGGAAGCATCGAATCGAGGGAGACGTGATTCGCGTGCATGCTGTCGAGGTGCTGGTGGAAGCACGAGCTGCACGGGTTAAGGAGCGGAGATACATCTTGCTGGAAGTGTGTGAAATCGATCAATACATACGAAAGTCGAACTTTGAATACCCTACCGAAGCCTGGAGCTCGGCCGCCTCTGTCGTAGCAGGTTGCTTATGGGTTGAACCTGGTAGGAGCGAGAATGATTGTCTGAGGTCGTTGTTTCGAGATCCTAAGTTCAATCACATTGCAGAGGATTCGCTAGCTCTCTGGCCTTGGCACTGAGTAAAATTACCGCTACATCAGCAACCATCACCCCACAGCCTCCAAGTTGGTATTACGTCTGTACTCGGTACTTGAGATGCAATAGTTGTCTGTGTGTACACGCTGACTCTTCGCTGGCTACCACTTCTACGGCGTGCGCGGCTTCGCTCACAGCAACTGAACAATTACATGTATACCTGAAATGACATCACCCGGGCACGAAACGGCGTCGACCCTCGTCGTAATGCCGTACTCAGGAATACCAAAATTACGACTCCGATCAGCCGCACCAGAATGACATGTAACCCTGAAGATGGACCAAATGGACTTCTCCGCGCCCGATTGTTCTTCAGAGACATGCAGAGAGGCGTATATTTGCTGAGAAGGGTGACCAGAACAGGGCGAGCATATATTGGGACAAGGCTCCCGCAGGCATACCGGTGCAAGCACAATAGGCTAAGAAGACTCCAACGTTCCAGACAAGAGATAATGCTTCGAGCTTTTTGTTTGAGACAATCTATCTCGGCCATTCAACATTGCAATGTTCTATCTTCGTCACAGCATCAAATGTCGGGCGTGCTCCAACGGCGCATACCCTACCCGTTTGCCATGCTCGGCTCGTCGGAAGATGTGCCCTTGCACTCAGGTGCCACAAGACCAACATATATCTCGTGGTAATGGTGTTTTGTTGCTGGTACGTCGAAGTGTTGTCCAACCCGCCTCCATATTCATTCTGCTCTTAGACTGTTCCTTTGCCTTTGCTGGCTTCCTTGAGCAAATCGGCCCATTCCAACTCGCCCGGGTCGTTCGCTTGCCAGTTCATGGCAATTCCGTTGAGGGCGTTCTTCAAGGTCTCGCGGGAGCTGGCATACACCATGCGGGACTGTGCCAGAAAATCTTAGCCGTGGCAACTGCGGGAAATTGTAAGGGCAGACAAACCTTGACACCAGTGTTGTCCTGATTGATGTAGGTGATGAATGCAATCTTGGATCTTCATGCTGAAGTCAGTATACCTATCCACGAAGCTAACATGATTATCATTGGATGTACCTCTTGCCTTCACCGCCCTCAAGCTCAAATTCAACGTCGTAAATAGCGTACGAGGGACGGTCCTTGCCATTGGCCTCCTTCTTGCCAATGAGTTTCTCTCTGAAGGCGTCGTAGTCCGGCTCGCTGCCGACCTCATCTACCACGATTTCCTTCTGATCATCGGAGATCTTGTAGATGATGTATTTGGGACCGCCGCGACCGAGTTTCAAATCATTGAACTTTGAGACGCAGTCGGGGTTGACAGATAGGCTAGTGGGATCAAGGCATTAGAGAGGCACTGCGGCGCGCAATGGATAACAGGATCTCAAGGCAGATGGTATGCACATACCCGGACACAGGCTACAAGGCAGGGTTAGCGGAAGCGGTATCGCAGGATGGGTTCAAGCACTCACCATGACTGCTTATTCAAGTTCCAGATACCTATGCGACTCGGTTTGAAGCTGGTACTGTTGTCAGTTTCCGAGGAGAGTAAGATGGCGCTTGGAGAGATGGGAGCGCCAAAGAAGCAAAGATAGGGAATATGAAGTCTCGAACAGGCACCGGTGATGGGAGATGCTGTCAGAGAAAAGCTGACGTACTTTGCGGGAGGATTGTGGTGCAAGACTGGACAATGCAGCGTAAAGCAAAATCCAGATTGCGTGTAAGGGTAGGCAGAGGATAAGGGAGTGTTTGGTGGGATGGGACAATGACAGTGGCAGCAAAAAGAGAAGAGTGAGTGGTGGGGTCCAGATTCAATAATACGGCATACGCGCCTAATGGCAACGAGGGGCATGCCAGGCTCCTCCGGCGCTTTGGCAACAAGTCGCCGGTTGGCAGGCGAACGCCCAGAAATTCAGCCCCGTGAGCACTCGCGTCCTTCTCTCACCGATACTTTTGATATTAATTAGTGTTCTGATGATCCCCTCTCTGGCTGATGGGTGCCTGCGACAGCTCCGGCGACTCCATTCATCTTGTGATGAACAGCTGAAGTATCTGCCGCCTCGATCCGTGAAACAGCTCCCACGATTACGATATCTTCCGGACACCTCTGCGCATTGTTCCTCGACCTACGATTGGCCCATACACTGAGCGTCAGCCGTCTTTGAACGAGCTAACTGTCCTCTGCCTCTCGGCTCGCGACTCAAGGATGTGACTTACGGGTGACTACACTATGGATTTGTCTAGCCGGACACGAAAAATAAATACAGTTGTGGTAGGTAAGTCCAAGGCGAATTTGGTTTCGCCTCGACACTTGGGACACTAAAGCACTATGTCTGTGATATCGTTGGCATGATGGGAACACCGGCTGTGCATCTGTGTCTCAAGATTTTCACCACCTGTTGAGCCTTGCTATATCTTCGTCAGTCCACTCACGTCCCAGTTGAAGGTGGCTTCGACAAGGACACGAGGGAGTCACTATTCCCAGTAAGTACAGCGCTGGCAGGAAATGGGTCATCGTATGGAATATGGGGATTGGTCGGCGGATTGAGAGAGACGATTTTCGGTCCAGCACAGGGCTCGGGTACGAAAAGCGATATTTTACGATATGCCATACATACAAATGGCCCGACGCCATCGATTGTCGAGGTGTAACTGTGTCAACAGCAAAGAAGGGGCCTAGTTCTGTGAAAGTATCTGAGACCAGTGAGCTCGACTTCAACTCAGTGCATAAGAGAAAGAGAAGAAGGAGGAAACAATCAAAGATCGAAATTACATTCAGTTAATCCATTGAGCCTCCCTCCTTCCATCACCGTTTTAAACCGACCTCAGATGATTTCACTCTCTATCTCTCAACACTATTGCCTTCGCCTTTCCCATATCGTGTGCAGTCTTCCAACTTCGTTAAAGCCTAATACTGCTCATCACCTTCAATTTTCAAATCTCTCCGAGGAGCTTTTATCACCAGCCATGTCGAATCCCTGGAATGATGCTACCGAAAAGCTTTTGCTCTTCAGCATGATTGAAGAGCCAGATAACTGCTCTCGCGCAAAGTTCGAACAGGCTGCCGTGGCGATTGGTGGTGGAGTGAGTGCAAATGCGTGTCGGTCAGTTCACTCTTCTCTCAGAAATCTTCCAGCATCTGAGATTCAGAAATTCACACTCTACCTTCCCCCGACAACTTTTCCTTTTCCTCCCACTCTCACTCCATCTGTCCTTCTCCTGGTTGAAAACAATCAGCCCTCGCAAACATCTCGTCCCCTTCTGACTGTCATTACACTCCATCTCCTTATTGAAACCCATTACCCCTTGAGAAATTCCTCCTCCCATCCTTCATCACCTCAGGGTCTACATCATGCCATTTAAGTGGGATGCTGCTTCGGAGCGCAGTTTGCTCCTCTTTGCCCTTGCGGAGATGAACCCACCAGCGACTTGGATTTGGCCTCGGGTTGCTGACAGGCTCGGTAATGATCTCAACGCAAGTGCCTGCAGGTATCAACACACTCTATGAACGGTTTCACTACGTTTCCCTCTTACCTCTTCCTTGTATCGACGTCTACTTGTTTCAGGTCTGAGACCATGCTAACCTCTAAACATGCAGCCAAAAATTCTACAAGCTGAAGAAAGAGAGCGAAAAACTGCTTCAGCAGGACGATGCGGCTCTGAGCGGTGATCCCGCGACCCCAGTCAAAGAGAAGACCACAAAGACACCTACTAGCAAGCCTGCATCTGGACGGAAGCGAAAAGGCACCGACGGTGACGGAGAAGAGGTCAACACCGCGGTCAAGAGAAAGCGAAATGTCAAGAAAGAAGCCCCAGCCGACGCATGGATTGAAGTCAAGACAAAGATTGAAGAAGATGAGAGTGCTGCCGTCAAGGGTGAGGTCGAACACAGCGAAGATGAATGAGGCATGCTTACTTTGAAGTCCGGTATATGATGTGTGTCCTGTTCGAACCTTCCTACTGCTGACTATTGACGAGACTCACAAGTTACGATCTCTAAACCTGAACCAGCTTCAGTCACTCACGGCGTGTTTGGGGGGAGGGTCACAAACTTCATTCGCACAGGGACATAAGCCTTTTCTGCCGGGGTCTTGCAGGGGACATGGTATGAGACAATAGGATATGGCTGAGCTGAGATTTTGTTTGAGGAGAGATTGCTTCGAATGGGTTCCGTGGACCGTGACGAGTGCAGCGACTGTTACTCTTGTCGCCGGATCAATCCTGCTGCCATGTCATCTTGGACGTAGAGAACAGGCGGATCGCTCATGCCATGCGAAACACGTCAGATAGCTGAGGAGAATCGACAATTGAATACAATTGCATCACACGTCATGATTGACATCGTTTGCCCTTCCTCCTTTCGTTGCAGACACAGGGGATGTTCCCACCACAACTGTGAGGATGAGTGCCAGTTACGGAGCCACTGTTGGGATCTACAGCGTTGAACAGGTAGCAGTCGCAGGGCGCAAGGCACACTCTTTACTCGAGCCTGCTCGACTTCTCCTGAGCATCTCTATTCTTTTGTGGACAAGGTGAACCTATGCCTATTTCCAGCTAGGGCAACGCAATCAAGGCTGAGAGATGGCGCTGAATTCGTGGCCACCAAAGCATGAATGAGGTGTGGAAAATCCACCTTTTCCTCTGGGTCTTCTCAGTGAAGTGATTCGCACCACTGCAGATGCAGCGGCATGCACACCTACGGCCCTTGTCGTTGTGTGCTGAATGCTCTCGATCAGGTTTGCCAAAACAAGCTAAGATCAGCTGGTCGGAATCTCGCAAAGTCGGGGACGAGAGGGTCAAAGGCGAAACCAACAAGGAGAGGCTAGGAACTGCGGTAGCGGGTATCGCTGCTCAAACTGGGCGCAGCCAAGAGCATGTGACATTGAGAATTCCTGCAGACAGAAATGCCTTGTTCTATTGCGAGTACAACCGTTGTGCTCCAATCAGCAACCGATTCCAAGTCTGGTGGAGGTTGTGGTTCGCTTTTGTAATGACAATGTTACCGCTAACTGGCTCGCTGGGCTGCCGAGACTGCGCTGCTCCACCACGATCCTGCAGCCTTGACCACCCAGACTGTCGCCCTCCCTCTCAGTTCTCTCCCCCCTTGCTTCCTCGCCACCCTCGATCACAAATTCCAATGGCTTCAACGCGCTCCACCCCATGGCTACCTGGAGTAGTTTGGGCGCAGTGCATCAAAGACACCGTCCACCCAACACTCTTTTCGACGTGTTTCTCGCGGCCCCTCTCAACTCATGTCAATGACTGACTTCTTCTTCGATTTGAGCCATCGCCTCCATGACTGCACTCAGAACTTCGAACGTGCCCCCGATCTGGGACTTCAGAGACTCTCTGTTCCGGGCACTGGCAGCAGCTTACGCTGCGTTGGGCGAGGACCTGGTAAGATATCAATTTTCTGCCTAGATACGTATCGAACTAATAGTTCGTCAGTTCCGACGTGAGTTGACGAGCATCGCGGCTTATTACGGAGAAGGGGCAACATTCTCTGAGATTGAGGACCTCTTTACAAAGCATGTTCCAGCAGAAGCAGAGCTACTTAAAACCGAGCTGGCTAGTCGCCGCAGTGGTGGTAGAGAGACACCTCCCAAGGGTCCAGCACAATCCCGTCGTCCACCTTTGCTCAACTTCGACGATGAGGATCTAAGTGTCTTGAGCCCGAGAGAGGTCGATGTTTTGAAAGCTCGGTCTAAAAGTTCGATCCAAGAATCTGCAAAGCGTCTTCAAATCATCAATGGATCGGCTCGCATATCGCCGGTCGGAGATGTACCAACGATAGGGGCCATGGCGCCCCCAATAGCCACAACATCTCGGGCTGCAGCGGATGTAATCCAGACGGGACCATGGAACATCTATGATACTGGTATCCAATCTCGTCTTAGTCAGGCGAGCATTGCCCAAACTCGAAAACGTCGGTTCTCAGAGGTGCATGATTCAGTGGAGCTCCAGGCTGCAGATGATCGTCGCCCAAGAGCACCACCAAGATCTGAATCCTTCGGCTATGTTACGAGGAATGGTGAATACCGATGTGCTCTTTGTCAGAGGCAACTACCCAACGAAAACGATCTGAAGCTGCATGAACAGATCAGTAGAGAGCATACACGCAGTCTCAAGGACCAGAGAAAGGTCACTCTCGGTCGTGAGAGATTAGCCCATCTCGCCGCACTATCAGCCCAGGGCTACAATGCGAATCCTTCCGTGCTTGGTCAGCGTCTGAGGATTCATAATCTGCTCGTATCAAGTCCGGATGCCGCAGCTGCTGAGATGGTGAAAAAAAATGGCAACCGGCATGAACCTGACCCCAGCTTGCGCCAAAGTCAGGACCGTCAGGCTTCTTCGACAGACATTGGCGATGAAGGGCGTTGGCATCCCAACACTATACCAGCGACACAGAGCGTTGAGAGCACAACCTCCGCATGCGTAGCTGGGCCTTTACAGACTCTCTACCAGGGTAAATGCCGTGCCGATTCGCTTATGTCTGCGTCAGGCAGTGCTCCAGCTCCAGAAACAGCACCCTCGCGGACAGCAGGAATAAATACAAGGTCCACGACTGCTCGGACTGAAATCGGAACTCTCAACACTCCTCAGACCCTCAACGGGGTCGAACCCACCAGCACACAGCAGCCTCAACACAACTCCGAGAGCGGAGGGGACGAGAACGCATCTGAAATCCCAGATAGTGTCACCGCCAGGGACATTTCGCGTTTGATCCAGCTAAATCTCAAATTGCTGAACGTTTTCCAGAAATCCGCGTCCGCTCGAGACAATTCATCTCCTCCTTCTCGCGAGAGGGTGCCTGCAAGTGTTCCCGACGACAAGTCTAGACCTGGAATGATGGGTATCAATAACAGCCCAACTTCAAACTCTACTGTCCCCACAACTATGGTCCTGGAAACGCTGCATCCCGCAGCTTCGTGTAACGGTCCGAACCCTGGAGGCAGAAATTGTACGCAGAGGACGATATCTGCGCCGGGGATTGGAGTTCACCTCGACATCAAACGTGGAGACGCGAAAGAAAACGGCAAAAAGAAGGATGTCGGCGAGCCTATTTGTATGATTGTTCTCGACTAGGAAGGAATTTGGATTGACATGCTCTTGTATTTTCTGGCTCCCTCATTTCAAGACACAAGTGTAGCTAGTTTAAGCAAGCTCAATGGTTTCTCGCACAAGCATCTTTTCATGGTTTGGTTTCCAACATAGCTCCAGACCCAACTATTTGAGTTTTCGCAGACTAAAGCTCGAATACCTTCCCTCTTCTCCTGCCCATGTCTGAAGAAGACATGAGCGTTGCTGAATATCATTTTCTCGCACATTTCTGTGTGAACATTCCTCGCCGCGCCGACATAGACAGCCCGGTTTTTTGCAAGCGAAAAGGAGAAAAACAACGCGCATCGAATGCATTGAACTCATGTGGTTACAGTGGCTTTTTCGCACATGTTTCAGTTCTCGGTCTTGATCTTCTTGTTCATCCTGCCTCCCTTAGCGGCGGCGGCGACGTCTCGCCCATACCCCTCATGGTCGTCGACTCTACGCTTCTGCGGCATATACAGCGGCATATGCGCCATGGGTACGCCGTTTGTCGCCGGTGTCGCCGCAGACTCTGCCGGTGAAGGGAGACCGTAGGCAACGCCCGGGCTAGAAGGGTCGCTCATTTCCACCTTGACGCCGTTCGCCATGGCGAGTTCTGTAGCGTTCAGCTTGCCAGACTGCGGTTCGAGCTCGGCTTTGATATTAGGCTTCGTTTCTTTGTCGTCGGCGCTCTTAGGCTTCGACTTGGATGGAGCCTTAGGCGCGGCATAGGCGCGGGTATTTCCGTTTGGTGGACTCGTAGTTGTGATTATGTTGAGACCATTGCGCTTCTTAATCTCGCCGAGACGCTTCACGATGGTGTTGGGCTTGGTGCCGGTCTTTTCGCAGTATGGGCCAATATGGAACTGTCGGGCGCGGGGAGAGAGTCAGTACATCACGCCGAAAAGTGGCACTCGATTCGGGGAAGAGAGCAAGAGAGAGTTTGACGTTTGAGGTGATGTGAGATGAAATTAGGGGACGTGGTGAGGTAGGTAAGTAGGTAGTGAGAGGGCTAGAGTAGCCAGAGGGAGTGGTGGGAGGCACTGGTCAGCACTTACGAGGATCGCCTGAGGAGAGTCGCGCATCAGCTCCAACAGGAACATGGCGTCTTTGGAACTCAGTTCCTGCTTAGATTGTTGTCCTGGTGCCATTTTGATGAAGTGATTTGTCAATGCTAGGGAGATGGAATGAATGAGTGTGGTGAATCGAGCTTGGAGGGGTCTCTGTAGAAGGTAGAAGAGATGGAGATGAACGAAGTTGCATAGGCCAAGTGAGTCGAGTTCAAGGAACAAGTGAAGAACCAAGTTGAAATGAGGACTCTAGTGGGAAGGTCGCTAGTGAGACTGGAGGGGCACGTTTTCGCACCCTTCATGACCAGGAGGCTGGTTTCTGAATTCACAGGTCACTTTAGCTGTGTTACTCAGAGGCCAGAGTCTGATGAGGGAAACCAGAGAGGCGGAGAATGTCGAAGAAGGAAATGCCCGCACGTGCAGATGTAGCAGCCGGTAGCGTCCTCGCTCCGGCTAAGTGAGGCGAGACTAAGGGGGAGGGTGGTGATTCATGGCGCAGCAACTTACGCTACGCTCCTCACGGGCTTCCGAACTTGCCTAGACCAATGTCCTCGTAAGTGCTTGCATATTTCGCGCTATGGGGAGCGTAGGGCGAGGGCGTCCCTCGAGGAAAGCAATTAGACGAGTCAAGACGAGACGAGATTGCAAGGCGCGAAGCTCTTGCAGGACATACAAACAAGGCGCAAGAAGGACAAAAAGACGGTGTAGAGTCCCAACAAGATTGGAACGATCAATCACACACACGAGACGACTTCCATGACAACAAAACTCCTCAACAGAAACCAAAGAGGTGCGTGACGGCATACGAGCAGTGCTCCCTTTCCGCCTATGGTCTGATAGGATTTCCTTGCAGGACGATCCCAGGGTTGTGTGAATGAGTGGGGCCCATTGCCAGGAAGTTCTCTGCCTTATGTTCCCGCGGCGATGGTTGGTTCACCTTTCTGCAGCCCACCATCCCCGCTCCGCATCATCCACTAGCATCCCGCGACTAGGCTCCTTGATCGGATATGCCAAGACATTTCTAGTCGGTCGCCAAGAAACTCAAACAGATAAAATGGACGACAAGTCTGCATATACAAACCCAGGCATACACGTTTATACAATGTTTGATGGCCGCTATCTCTTGAAATTGAGGAGGCTGGGAAGTCTTCCCACCTGATGCAAGCGAAACCCCCTTCTTCCCAGCCCCCCCTATTTTCTCCCGCAGCCGACTTGCCCAGAACACAAGGCCTGCCCACCCCCCCCAAAAAAACCTTACTGGAAGTCGCTTCTTCGAAAATCCTCAGCCGTTTTACCGGCATATGTGCACCGTTTCTGAGCCACTTCATGGCGGTTTGAAGCCAATGTCTGCAACCGTTGCACACTGCTTGCACCCTTGCGAACTCAAAACTCTGGAGACTGCCACCTCAAGCCATGAAGCTGTTGCTACCGCTGTTCCCACTGCTTTGTCCACTCATCATGTCCCCCATGTTCACCGACGCGAAATAGGCTGCCGCACTGAATGGTGCGTCGTAGCTATGAAATGGATCCAGACTATTCACCGCCATCTCCTCATGCTTGGCTGCCCGAGGGCTTTGGGACTCCTCGCGAAAGGGAACACCTTCGACAGACTTTTGCTTGGATTTTCGACCTCGCTTGGAGGGAGGTGTCTTGGTCTCGTCATCTGGTTCCGCTTTGCGCTTGGTTGGCGTCGATGGAGTTGGGACCCCTTGCTCCCCGACCATCTTTGCCATGTCATTCCGTAGCTTGTAGTACTTCTGACTGTTGCAGGTCAGTCAATTCTGCAGACGCCTTCGTCCACGGATCGGGCAACACGCACCTCACGGCTGACGGGGTCAACCCCTCTCCTAAAAGTGCTGCAACCCGCTGCCACGTATCAGCTGAAGGCCTCAGATTTGCAGCAGAAATCGCAAGTATCAGCATGCGGCGCTCCCGCTCGGCAGTCCATTGGTAAGGCATGGTGGAGTTGATGACAATGTCTTGGAGAAACACCGACAAGCAAATGGCAAAGCTGTTGCGAGTGTGCTCGAGAGTGTCGTGAGTAGAGGAGGAAATTGAACGGAGAGACTAGTGAGGTTGTGAGAATATGGGAAAAAAGTCGCTAAATATAGGAAGAAAGTTGAGGGCAATCAGCAACACACCGTCATGTCGCTGGAGTGTCGGTGTGGACCTGAAATGAGGTATCCGCAGCTGCTGGATTTGTTAGCTTGGAGTTAACCATCAGTAGTCACAGTGCGTCCCGTCGTGTGACAGTGATGAGACGATAAGGAGCAATTCTGACAGTATCTCCTCGCCACTAGCAAGTGCAGGACGCAGAACTGACGTTTGTTGGCAAGAGGCCATCAATATGCAACCTCTATAGCTGATTTGACTCCCCGTGTGCAAACCTGCACTAGGCACGTCTAGCGCCGGAAAATGGCCTCTTTGAACATTCTCTGATGGCGGACGCGACGCTGAAAGCCAATCAATGGCAATGTCGGATCCCTGTCTTCGGGCACACTCAGTCACGGAACTGCATAGGCCCAAATGTAATGACAGAAACCGTCTCCGAGCATTCCTTGCTTGCTGTTGGTTCAGACGCTGAGCCTTCAAGCAACTTCTCCCCGGGAGTCGTCCTCTCCCCCTCCTCTCGAAAGCTAGAGAAAGCCTGGGCCTGGAGCGCCTTGGTTGATAGCAGCCTGAGAGGTATAAAATGCCCTTGAGCCTGGAGGTCGAGACTAGAAGCACAGTCTCGAGAATATCTTCTACTCCTATCTAGACGTTTGTTGAACCATCTTGTCTTCTCAAGCCCACCTTATCTATCATACAAAGCAGAGAAAACTTGCAACAATGGCTGAAAATCAAACGGTCGACATCAAGGAAGTCGACATCACGGCTCTGATCGCCGCCCTTCAGAGCGCGGTCAGCCCTCTCGAAGTATGTAACACCCCACTCCTAAGGCTTCCCAACAATTCCTTCTCTAACCATTCATCGATGATCTAGGTCGATGCCGAAGAGGTGGCTAGACGCTTGGGCATGAGCCTAGCTTCTATTCCCCCAAAGTTCACGCGGATCCGCAAACAGTACCATATCGACATCAAGGTCGTCAACTCTGGGGCCTTACAGCGCAATCGACAAAGTACTCCTAAGAAGAGGGTTTCTAGGAAGCAGCCCAAACGTGTGAGGACCAGCAATGCTCCAACCCACTCGGACAATGAAACTGGGACGGAGTCATCGGGGAAGTCGTCTTTGAGAATACTATAGACATGGAAAAAGAGAGTGCATGAGCATTCAGCAGGGCTGTGCAGTGGTGGCTGTCATAAGCACTGGGATGAAGCATGGAATAAGGTGTTCTGAACAAAAGAGGAGCACAGGCAATGACATGAGAGAAAACAGGGTCGGTGATGATATGATACAATCAAGCAATGCGGTTCCTTTTGAATGCGATAATGACAATGAATGATGGATCCAAGTGTAGTATGGGTGTCCTTGGGATGTTGTCTGTATGACATCCGCTGTGTTCAGCTCCCATTCAACCCGCCATTAATTGTTTGACCGTGCTCTACTCTACGTGGAATCAGCGTAGAATGCTCCGTAATAGTCGGCGAGACCTGCCGTGTGGTCACCGCTCACGTCGAGGGACTGCCGGTTTGTCATCCGCTCGTCCGGGATCGTCATGGAACCGGTTCGCGCCGTAGAAAATAATACGGCTTCCCTTTGTCTTTGACAGACGGCGGCCGCGACTCTGACAAACTGGCTTTTACTCAGAGTGACGGGCTCGGTAATCTCGGCGTGCGACATTCTGGTGCTTGATCAGGTTGTGACATGCGGTGGAAACGAGGGACAACACGTGGACAGTAGAGGTCACGGGAAATCATTTTCTCTCTCATTACTTTGTTTGCTATGAGACGATGCTCACAGCGTGTGATGTTCTCTGATCTGCTTAGACATGCATAAATATGTGTCAATATCTGACACTGCGCCCCTCTGCCTCCTCTTTCTGGACTCTTCACTTGCGAGCCAGCCTCGCTAGCTTCGCCTTGCGTGCTGCCTTCTCCTTGCGCTCTTCGGCAAGGTCATACTCCCCGTCCGAGTCCTCAGAGTCCTGGCGCCTTGCACACACATATTCCTCCTCCCCCTCCGTACCGCCGCGCCCGTCCTCGGACATGGGCTTGGCTGCATGGCGAGTTTTGCGCACTGGCAAGGTTCTTCGAGTCAGCGGGGTTGGAGTGGCGATATTGGCCTCATCGCCGGAGGTGGTCTCGCTTGCCGATCGCATGTCCTCGTCAGAGAAGGGTGAATGGACGCGGCGCTTGCGCTTAGATCCGGTGCTAGGCTTGTTCGCTGACGAGCGCTTGTTCCCGGAGCTCACACCGCGGTGTGGAGTAGTGACTATATTCTTCCCTTCTGGGGATTTGATCGTGGATGATTGAAACGTAGCAGGGGTGTCGTCAATCTCATTCTTCGCCTTAGACCTGGCTTCGGCTTTTTCGTCTTCATCATCCCCTTTTGTGACGGGCCCTTGCTTAATCTGCCGTAAAGCCTCGAGGTCTTTGCCGTGTCTTATAATTGCCCTGAAGTTGTCGTTGATGCTACGAACAGTCGGTTTGACATGCTCATCATCGTCGTCGGCTCAAGCCAAAGTCAGCAGCGGTTAAAAGCGAACAGGAACCTCGTTGCTTACGCCACATCTTAGCTACTTGGACGGCATCGATCTTGAAGTTTGGTAAACACGTAATGGCAGTGCGAAGGAGCTGTTGATGGTCAGTGTGGGAGCCGTGAGACAAGGTCTGAAGAGTCTACAGTGAGCTTTCTGGCATCGTTCCAGCGACTGACGGGCATTTTTGGATCTTTGGTAGAGAAGAGGAGACTGATCTGACAGAAGAATTTGACAAATGCTGACGGAGTAATGGTAAGAGGTTGATGCTGAGTTGATTCGAGAGCGGACTCGACAAATTTCTGACAAACAAGAGGTGTGTGAACGTGACAAAGAAGGACAGAACTGAGGCGAGAGTAATTAATCGTGGGGGAGAAATTCAGCGCCCCAGTTCGCAGCCAAGCCACAAGTTGCTAGAAACAGAGCAGAGAGTGAATGGCGCCTGACATGTTGAGTGAATTTCCTACCCCTGTCGCCCCCTTTGCGGCGTGCGCCATCTCGCCATGAGGCGTCACTCTGCCCACCAAGCACTCTTTTGTGAGAACTGCGCATTTTGTTTGCCGCATGAACAAAGCGTGAAGGGACGTCGCTGCCACTTATGTATACATACTGTGCGGGGCATGTTGTACACGCCTGCACCCAGTGTACGAGAAGGCGATGGGTTCGCTGCCGCTGCCACCTCAACAACACAAGAGTTTTGAACAAGAAGAAAAGGAAAAGATGGAACGGAATCACAAGGATGGGATCGAGGGTAAAAGGGGCACAAGAAATCAGCGCCGGCCCGAGGTTTATCCGAAAGCCTTGCGATATTCTATGGATCCATTACAACTGACAAGACACAATCAGTTAACACAACTACCTGCTCAGAACCAAGTCAAAAAGCAATCGACGCAAGACGAGCCCATTGATCAATCAAATATCCGAGAGAGAAGCAACAGCGCGCAACCATAATGAGAGCCTAAAACCGAGACATAACTACTGTCATCGCTAGCCAATTTGTTCCCCACCGACCGCTCTTGATGCGCATATTCAGGTTGCTCATGATCGACAGGTCTAGTTTGAAGAGTTTTGTCAGGATAATTTCCTCGGCAGAGCCGTGCAGTACCAACTATCCCTGCAAAAACATCGCTAGAGTTAATGGCGTCTAGAGCTGCCGAAAGAATCCCTGCCCTCGAATTCTCAAACGCCTTGTGCGGCCAGAACGGCCAGACGAACAGAATCGCAATTACAAAAGTCTCCAGACAGATGAGGAAGGAGTTCAACCCGAGATTGAGGTCGCTGTAACTCAGATGCTCGGTTGGTTTCAGGACGTCACTCTGCGAGAGGGCATTGATGATGATCCTTTGTACAAGCTGGGTAAAGACGAGGAGCTTGAACACGCCCATTTTATAAAGAATACGCCGGTCGGCAACGTGGAGCTGGCTGCGACATCTCGGGTAGAACTTGGAGATGCCGATGAGACAGATCGCAGTCAGCAACCCCTGAACAATGCTGATAATGGTCATAGTCCGCTGATAGGACGTGGTTCCGTGGCACTGTGTTGCTTCGACAATCTCTGTGGCAGTGACGGTGACCACGCGGGTGGGCAAAATTTGAATCACGGTGATCCAAGTCTTGCGAAACCAGTTGACGCTTGCAGCATTTGAAGGTTTGCTAGTCCCAGGGTTGGTAGCAAAATACTGAAGCTGTCCTTCAAAGGACTCTGGCGCCACGCAGGCAACCAGAAGAAAGAACAGTGCAATGAGTGCAAAGGCCTCGTAGAGCTCGGCGATCGGAGTCAGGTAGTTGGCCAGGTTGTAATGCCAGACTCCGAAGAAGCTGAAAATGGCGAACACTCCTGGCGTCCAAATAAGGCGGACAATTTGCTTCTGTCGTTGTGGTTCAGCATATCTCGCCAGGTGTGCAAGTGTCAGGAGACTGCAAACGGTCCATGTGCAGATGGTGGTTCCCGCGGCAATATACGTCGTCAAGGTATGGTAGGAGAGATCGTTGACAAGGGGTTCTGCTGGGTCTTTACAGAGAATGTCAGTCAGCAGTGGAAAGGATCAGCCATAAAGATGTGAGACTTACCAGCATTGCTAGGAGAGTTACAGCTGCCCATAATGTATCAATGCTGTTCGATGTTCGGATCTATTTGCGATAATTCTTGGGGTGGTTCTGGATGTGTCCAACTTTTAGGGCGACGCAGGGGACATATATATATGTATGTATACATTTCGACCCTCCTAGTTCAGACACTACGTGCGACATGCTTGAGAACCTTCTGCATTCGATATACTCTACAACTCGTGCAATAGGACAGAAGCAGTCGTCATGTCGCGCATGGCTGAGACGGTGTCCCTGTCGATGTATTCCAACATACGAGTATTCCTGTGGTGTGGGTCTAGTGGTTCAATAAGTGGTGGATCAACCTGCCGAATGCGGAAGTCTCAGCATGCGTCACACATAATTACCGAGCACGAGACACACGAAGCGGTACATCCATCCCATGCAGACTCTATTAAGCGAGACAGGCACTGTCAGCCCAGATGATGCGATTGGGTCCTTTGTTACCAGAATTCATCGTTGCAGGGTCTTACCTGAGCATTTCTCTTCCCGCTCTCTTGAACAATACTACGTCAATACCACATGTCAATGAGGTATACTTTTTCAGCTGAGAAGCCCAAGGTGCCTTACACCCACCGAGGTCCACGAAGTAAAGCGTGCCGTGTATGCAGGGTCCTAAGGTTAAGGTAGGCAGTGAGCGATTAGTACTTCCCTTGCCACTTGTTATTTTGATCCTGTACAGGAGCGACGAAGCCCGGCCAACATCTCGTGGCCGTTGTCTTCATTTAGGCGAGACCTGTGAGTTTCGAGACACCCTTAATCCTCTCCACTATGATGAGACAGCACACTCTTCTCATAGAGCTTATGAACTCTGGCAGCAACGCTCAACTAATCCATGCGAAGGCGGTGCATCGAGTCTAAGCACCACGAAACTGACAGACACATCGACCAACATGACCTTCGCGTTGGGCCAGTCACCGTGAGTTGGCAGTGCAAAGGTTCTTTTTCGCCTATGCCTTCCAGATAGAAAACCCCTTCTCGAGGAGAAGGGAGAAAGGGAGGGTATCTAGAATAAGTTCCGGACATGTATCCTAGACTCATCAACCGGCCCTTTCTCCCCACGTTCAAATACGCTCGCTGCCTTGGCCAAACTTACCAGGAGACGAAGAGATGCAAACTCGAGGGCCCGCACCCGAGGTTGCTTTGGCTGTATACGGCAGAGCCATGTGGTTGACAAAGCCTACCGCCTTGACAGATTCCAGCTTAGTGCTTCGAGACGAGACGCTTCTAGCTTGCCAACCATTGGGATTCTTCGAAGTAATCGCCTTCCAGATTGAGTACATGGCGAGGCACCTTCGCGGTGGGACATTGGAGCACACGCTCTTCTACTATGAACTAGACCCCTTCGGAACGGCTATAGACCTAACAGGGATAAGACGCGGGGTTAGGAAGAGAACGAGAGGGAGTGCCTTGCGAGGCTCTTCTAGTGCCGCAGGGCGTTCAAGGCTAGCCCATCTCAGTTTGATTATTGTATCACCTGGTAACTATACGTATTTTATTGCGCTCTTGATGTAAATTGACAAATCTAAGCATCAACATCTGCGCTCTATAGATCAACTCGTTCAATATGCAAGACTTGCCGCTTTAGAAGCTCAATACCAAATGCCACGTCTTCATATACAATGCAGAGGTAGTCTCTAGGAAAGGGGAAGGAAGGGACCTCAAGAATACAGCCTGCTAGCTGTTCTCGATAATGCAAGCTTGCGTGCCGTCCACTCCAGGTCCGCCAGCAAACCACTACTTGCCAACAGCCTTTCGTTTTCGCCACCATCTAACCACCCACCACGCCACACTTACCGTGAGCGCTGTTCTGTACGCCAAAAACAAGGCGATCGCCCAATTCACTCGGCCATAGTACCCATACAACAACTTACCAACGGCATGTTGCGGGTCTTTTCCGACACCCAATCCGCCGATACCGACACTGTGCTTATTGAACGATGATCGCTTAGCCGCTCGAGAAGACTGCTCTCCTTTGTCCAGAGGAGCGGGAGCGGACGTCGATTCAGGCCCCATGACGGGAGTAGATTCGGCCACCGGGACCGCTGTTGCCTCGCTTGCGCCATCCATCGCGGTCTGACTGGGCTGCCGCTGCAGTTTGTTCGGCCAAGATCCAGACGAGAAGGTCTCTGCGCTATTCTTTCGGAATGAGCGAGTCATGACGTACACAATTAGACGGAGGTCAGGGACTGTAAACGTGGGATATTTCCAGAGCGCCACAGCGTTGTAGGGTGGAAGCTGATCGAGAAGATCCGCCAGGACGCCGAGTGTAAGACCCCAGAGGATCAGTGGTTGTTGGTAAGTAAGAAGAGAGTGGTGAACAGAGGAGGAGGACGGAATGCCAAAGGGCGCTTGGGCCCAACCAGACAAGGTGGAGAGCTTATCTCCACCCTCCGTAGGTATGAATCCCGGTATTGAGCTGGCATAAACAGACTCTGTAGGGAGGAGGCGAACGGCACTGAACATCATCTTTCCCATTGTCCAACGGATCAGTTTGTGGATTATGGGACCAACGTGCTTGGCCATTCTTGAGGACATGTCCACGGCTTCTCGAGTCCGTAGAGTGGGTGAAAGCAGAGCACGGAGAGAGACCCAGTGCACCGAGGCGACTTCTGTGGGCTGTGGCTGGACAGGTGGAACGGCCTTGCCTGTCAGGAGGAATATGTAGGGGCATAAAACCATTAGAACGTCTTTCCCCCATGAAGTTGTGACCAGCCGCTCGGGGAGATTCCCTGCGGGCAGGCACTCCGTTGTCTCCAGGTCCAAGCCTATCTCTTCTCTTGTTTCACGGACGGCAGCAGCAAAGTCATCCGCATCTTCGGGGTCTCGCTTCCCCCCAGGCAAGGCAATATGGCCCGACCACCTATCCCCAGCGCGACCGGCGCGCTTGATGAAAAGCAATTCCGGGTCTCCTTCCTGGACCCATTCTTGCGCAAAGAATTCGCTGAGGGTCGAAGGCGGCGAGGGAGGAGAAGGTTTATCGACTGCTATGAGGGAACCATTGATGCTGGCAGGGACGGGTTTATAAGCTGGTCGGACACGGATAATAGCAGCTACGCTGGCTCGTTTCGGAGAGGTATGGGGAGGATTGGGGACGTGCGGGTACGGATTCTCGCTGAGGTGTACAAGGACTTTCTCGAGAGCTTGTATAATAGCTCTCGAGTCTTCCGACATAGCTGTGAAATTTTTGTTGAGGAGTTCTACTCGTCTCAGAGCATACCTGAGTGTTGTAGATGGGATACGACATGACTCAATGGAAGTTGGCAGCCTCGTCGGGATCATCTAATCGATGCCGAGGCTGTCGTCTTACTCCGAGCAGCCAATTGGAGATGGCCGGCCGGAAAAACCGTGTCCGAGAATCTTCAGCCGCATTAGGCAAGTATCTTGTGAGCACGGGAGGGGAATCGCCGCTTCGATTGGTTGTTGCTCACCACGCTTTGCTTTTTGAGAGTGGGGAAACCGCAGGGAACAAGGCACTGACAGCATCGAGGTTTCCAAAGCTGCGTTGCGAGTTGGTCAAGCTCTGTCGGTTGTTGTACCAATAACATAGATTTATGGATTTTTCTCCCTAGAGCTTCTTCTCCTGTACTCAATATTGACATCTAGATGGAGTAGCTGCTGCGACCTTGAAGACCGGACCTACACTGCCTTCGTTCTCCCGCCAACATGCGCTTTGGCAAGACCCTCTCCGATGCCATCTATCCACCATGGAAAGACAAGTACCTCGAGTACGACAAGATCAAGAAACTCCTCCGCGAAGATGAAACGTCCCCTCAAGGCCGAGGTGGTGAGAGGAGCTGGAGTGAACAGGACGAAGAGAACTTTGTCCACGAACTCACCGTAACCCAATTGGAAAAGGTCCACCAGCATCAGGTCGATACCTTCAACTCACTACGAGACCGAACCGCTGCCTGTGAGGCAAAGCTCCCGTCTACCGAAGGCGAAGACGCAGGAAAAGCTGAGGAGGAATACAAAGCTGCTGCAAAGGAGCTTCTTCCGGAGCTTGACAGCATCTCCAAGGAGCTCAATGAGCTTAGGAAGTTCAGCAGGATCAATTACACCGGGTTCCTCAAGGCTGCAAAGAAACATGATAGAAAGAGAGGTCTCAAGTACAGAGTCCGTCCGATACTGCAGGTCCGTCTGTCTCAGATGCCGTTCAACCAGGAGGACTACTCGCCTTTGCTTTTCCGACTGTCGACCATGTACAGTTGGGCTCGGCAGCAGCTCGAGGGAGAACAGGCTGGCAAGGAAGCGAATACAGACGTCCGACCAAAAGACGAGTACAAGGCTTTCAAATACTGGGTTCATGTGGACAACCTGCTCGAGGTCAAGACGTACCTCTTGCGTCGCCTGCCCGTCTTGGTGTACAATCCCCAGTCAGTCAAGGTGGTCGATTCGTCCCAAAAGGACCCGACGATCACCTCAATCTACTTCGATAATCACAACTTTGACCTGTACCAAGGGAAGGTCGAAAAGGGTACTGGTGGTGCATCCCTGCGTGTCAGATGGGCTGGCCATCTACTTGATGAACCAGAGGTGGTCCTTGAGAAAAAGTTCGTTGACGAGGAAACAACCGACAGTAGTGACATCAGAATCCAACTGAAGCCCAAATACCTCATTCCGTTTCTCAAGGGGGAATACAAGATGGAAAAACAGATCAAGAGACTCGAAGAGTTGCTGGGACCTCAACATGAGGACATCAAGGCGTTCAAGGCCAACGTTGACGAGATTCAGTCTTTCATCAAAGAGAAAGAACTCGAGCCAGTTCTCCGAGCAAGCTATACCCGGACTGCTTTCCAGATCCCCGGGGACGACAGGATCCGGGTGTCGCTGGACACTGATCTGGCCTTCATTCGAGAGGATGCAATGGACCCTGACCGCCCGTGTCGAGATCCAGATGACTGGCATCGGTCTGATATTGACCAGAACAAGATGGAATACCCATTTTCCGCCATTAAGAAGGGCGAGATCAGCCGGTTTCCCCACGCGGTGCTC